GCGCCTTGTGTAGCCTCGTAATTGTTTCTTTAGCGTCGACTGGTGTCTATTAGCTTCTGGTTATCGTTGAGATAGCGCCGATTTAGTGTCGATAGCGTCGATTAGCGTCGCTTTAGCGTCGTTTTGCGTCGATTCGCAAGAGCCTGCAAGATGGTACGAGAGGCTCCCATGAGTTGCCACCGAACATGCTATCTACTCAGATTTCATGGTCTCCCTTCTTATCTTAATGCGTCCCCTGGCCCCCCCTCCTGGGCCGCGCACATGCCTCGGGCCATGATTGGCGAAATCCGCTCTTGGACTCCGCCCTCTTGGACGCTCCCGACCGCCACCGCCGCCGTCCTGTTCAAATGCGCCCGCGGCGCTCTCGCGCGAGACTCTGTCGCAGTGCATTCAAGGTGGTGACAGCCCACCCGCGACGACACTGGCTCCCATTCGATACTGCCCTCGCAGTCTATTCCGAGGTGCGTTGGCCAGAGGCGCCCCCGCTCTCAGGAATGGTGCTGTCGCCCGGGATGTCCCCGCGGTTCACTCAAGTTGGTGAAGGCCCAACAGCGACAACAACGAGTCCCATTCGATACTTCCTTGCAATTTTCTGCGAGTCGCCTTGCCCAGAGGGGTCCCCTAGGTCAGGAATGTCGCTCTCGTCCGAGACTTCCCCGCAACTGATTCAAGTTGGTGAAGGCCCAACTGCGACGACAACGGCTCCCGTTCGATACTTCTTCTCAATGCACTCGCGTGCGCACTGGTCATATGCATTCTCGCTCCTACGAATGGTGCTGTCGCCCGAGACTTCCTCGCAAGTCCTCGCAAGTGAGACTTCCTCGCAAGTCCTCGCAACTCGCTCAAGTTGGTGCGTTGCCCGCGGCCGTGGCGTCGCGGTACGCACGCAGGGTGCACTGATGAATGTTTCACGAGCTGGTCTGCAAGAAGGGGGCTGGTTCATAGACTTAACGGCTGGGTAGAAGGGAGATGGATCAACAACTGAAGGCAAATCAGCTTGCTAGATCACGTGTTTCCAAGATGGTCGTCGTCATTGTTGCCCGTGTGGTCGTTTCCTTCGCTGCCGCCGTCGTCGTCGTCGTCGTCGTCGTTATCGTTGTTGCCGTCGCTGTCGCCGTTGCCGTCGCCGTCGTGGTCGTCATACTCGTCGTCTCCGTGGCCATTGTCGTGGTGGTGGTCGTGGTCGCCGCCGCCGCCGTCGTCGCCGCCGCCGCCGTCGGGGCCGTCATGGTGGCCTTCGTGGCCATCATTGTCTTGATTGGCCTGGTCGTGATCGTGGTGGTGGTGGTGGTGGTGGTCGTCGTCGTCGTTGTGGTTGTGGTTGTGGTTGTGGTTGTGGTTGTTGTTGTTCTTGTTGTTGTTGTTGAATATTATTACTTCTAAAGAATAATTATTGTTGGGCCCCCTGGTGCACGCCCCCCTCGCCGCGCCTAGGCCGCAGCCACATTTTCATCATTTTCGTGAGGAAGTCTCAGGCAAAACGATGTCATCCAGATCCGGTTGTTTTGTTGACGCCCGCTTTCCCTTGCAAAAAACAATATAAAATGACATTTCTTGTTCTAACATAACCAAACTTCAGGAATCCATTGCAAAAAAAGACACGAAATGCACACTCGCGCGCGCAAGACGAAATCCTTCCAAAACCTTAGTTTTCGTAGCGATTTTAACATAAAAACATCAAAAACCCAAAGGTTGTTTCAAAAACAAGTTGTGAAAATTCTATCCCGCGCGCTCTTGCGGATTCGTAGGAAACCCAACACTTTTTAAACATTTCTGTCAAACGGGCTTTTGCGAGCAACTTTTTCGAACTTCTGCAACAACGGTTGCGCACCTGCCAGGGCCATCATCCCTGTCAAATAATACCATGCGGGACACATTCGTTTTTTCTTCGCGCGCGCACGCCGTCGTCGTCGGCCGCGGGGCCCTGAATAGTAGCCACGGTCGTCCGCATGCCACGAAGTGAAGTGTCCGAACGTCATAGGGCGGGAAGCTGGGTGTGGGTGGTGGCGAAGAGTCGTTTGGAAATTTGGTAGAGCTTGAACCGGCCCCCCCACAAAGTGGGGGTATTGCCCGCCTCCTATGAAAACCCTGGCACTGGTGAGAACGGAGTGTCCCCACGTGCTAGTAATTGTTGTTGTTGTTGTTGTTGAACATTATTATTCTAAAGAATAATTATTGTTGGGCCCCCTGGTGCACGCCCCCCCTGCGCCGCCTAGGCCGCAGCTACATTTTCATCATTTTCGTGAGGAAGCCTCAGGTAAAACGATGTGTCCAGATCCGGTTGTTTTGTTGTAATCCGCTTTCCCTTGCAAAAAACAATATAAAATGACATTTCTTGTTCTAATATAATCAAATTTCAAGAATCCCTTGCAAAAAATAAGGTAAAGTGGACATTCGCGCGCGCAAGACGAAATCCTTCCAAAACCTTAGTTTTCGTAGCGATTTTAACATAAAAACATCAAAAAACCAATGGTTTTTCAAAAAAAAATTGTCAAAATTTCATCCCGCGCGCTCTTGCGGATTCGTAGGAAACCCAACACTTTTTAAACATTTCTGTCAAACGGGCTTTTGCGAGCAACTTTTTCGAACTTCTGCAACAACGGTTGCGCACCTGCCAGGGCCATCATCCCTGTCAAATAATACCATGCGGGACACATTCGTTTTTTCTTCGCGCGCGCACGCCGTCGTCGTCGGCCGCGGGGCCCTGAATAGTAGCCACGGTCGTCCGCATGCCACGAAGTGAAGTGTCCGAACGTCATAGGGCGGGAAGCTGGGTGTGGGTGGTGGCGAAGAGTCGTTTGGAAATTTGGTAGAGCTTGAACCGGCCCCCCCACAAAGTGGGGGTATTGCCCGCCTCCTATGAAAACCCTGGCACTGGTGAGAACGGAGTGTCCCCACGTGCTAGTAATTGTTGTTGTTGTTGTTGTTGTTGTTGTTGTTGTTGTTGTTGATGGACACGTGCACTGACGACCCGTACCCCCCCTCCCACACCAACACCAACACCCCAACAGCCCCGTGGGCCCCTGCGGTGTCCCCACGGGGCTGTTGGGGTGTTGGTGTTGGTGTCCTATAGGGTTCTATAAGGGTCCTATCGGATAGTTGGGGACTCTATACGACCCCATCGGGAACCTCTAGGATTCCATAGGAATCCGATAGAAATGCCATCGGGATCCTATAGGATTCCATGGGAATCCTATACGATCCCATTGAGATCTTGTAGGATGCCATATGTGATTCTATCGGGCTCCATAAAGGTCCGTAGAAATCCTTATAGGATCCTTGATACTCCTTATATGGTCCCCATGGATCCCTATAGGAGTCTTACACGATCCCTATGGAATCCTCGAAGATCCCAAGGGAATCCTCCAGGAGTCCGATATGGTCCCTATGGAATCCTAGTCGTTCTCCATGGGATCCTACAGGGCCCGCATGAGATCCTGTAGGGCCCCTATATGGTCCCTATGGAATCTGATAGGATCCGTATGGAATCATATAGAAATCCCTATGGAACCCTATGGGATCCCGATGGGACCCTATAGGAGTCCTATAGGGTTCCTATAGTGGCTGTGGCTTTGAGCACATCCTTAAGCACTTCCCCGTGGTCCTTAGGAATCCTTAGGGAATCATGAGGGATTCCTCTGGAATCCCGAGGGATCCCGAGGGAATCCACCTCTCGAGGATCGTGGTCCTGGCCCCGCAGGGGGCACCACCGAAGCCACACCTCTCTCGAGGATGGTGGCCCTGACCCAACAGGGAGCTCCATCGAAACATCATTTCGGCAAACCCCTCTCGAGGATCGTGGCCCTGGCGCCACAGGGAACCCCACCGAAGCCTCATTCGGCACACCCCTCTCGAGGATCGTGGCCCTGGCCCCACATGGAACCCCACCGAAACATCATGTCGGCACACCCCTCTCGAGGATCGTGTCCCTGGCCCCACAGGGAACCCATCCGAAGCGTCATTTCGGCACATCTCTCTCAAGGATCGTTGCCCTGGCCCCACAGGGAGATCCTCCGAAGCTTCATTTCGGCACACCCCTCTCGAGGATCGCGGCCCTGGCCCCACAGGGAGCTCCACCGAAACTTCATTTCGGCACACCCCTCTCGAGGATCGTGGCCCTGGCCCCACAGGGAGCTCCATCGAAGCTTTATTTCGGCACACCCCTCTCGAGGATCGTGGCCCTGGCCCCACAGGGAACGCCATCGAAGCCTCATTTTGGTAACCCCTCTCGAGGATCGTGACTACCACTACTACTGCTACTGCTGCTTCTACTACTACTATTATTATTATTACTACTACTACTACTACTACTACTACTACTACTACCACTACTACCACTACTACCACTACTGCTACTACTACTACTACTACTACTACTACTACTACTACTACTACTACTACTACTACTACTACTACTACTACTACTACTACTACTACTACTACTACTACTACTACTACTACTACTACTACTACTACTACTACTACTACTACTACTACTACTACTACTACTACTACTACTACTACTACTACTACTACTACTACTACTACTACTACTACTACTACGACTACTACTACTACTACTACTACTACTACTACTACTACTACTACTACTACTACTACTACTAATACTACTACTACTACTAGCCGGCCGCTCTGCGGTTGATCGGGAGTTTCTGTATATAGAAGAAGGTGCGTGCGCTTGTTGGCGAGGGTGAGGATGAGGTTCCTCCTCCTCCTCCTCCTCCTCCTCCTCCATCCTTCTCTTGCCTCCGTCTGTCCTCCTCCACCCCACAGCTCCATCATCTTCTCCCCTCCTCCTCCTCCTCCTCCTCCTCCTCCTCCTCCTCCTTCCGTTGCCATTTTGGCTCAAGCGTGCCAGCGCACGCGCGAGCGGGCATCCTCACTCTCGAGGCTTTCTGGTGCGTCAGGCGCCAGCGGACATAACCTTTACCCAGTAATTCCTAACCCTTAGATAAAACGAAACGCACAGTGCACGCGCGATGGCCGCCCGCGGTCGTGGCGGTGCTGATTCTGCTGCTGTCTCTGACGAGGAAGCGGCTCGCGACCCCAACGAGAAGAGCCGCAGCGGGGAACGCGCCCGAGGCCGGCGGCCCCGCGCTGAGGCCAAACAGGATCCTCTGGCCGAGCGGGATCCTTGGAGCGGAATGGCTGCCCAGCGTGGCCGGCCCTCCGGGGAGCCCCCTGGCCCCGCCGCGGGAGGGTCCTCAGGGAGCGCTGGCGCTGTGGTTCAAAAGCACATGGACGCCCTCTCGGAGAAAATCCGCGAGTACATGGCTGAGCAGTTTACCACCGCTATGGACTCGGTTCGCGAGGAGCTCGACGCAATGGTCGAAGATAAACTTGCTCCCCAAGCTGCCAGGCTCGAGGAACATGCTACTGAGATTGCTCAGATCAAGGAAAAGAACGCTAACCTGGAGAAGGAGCAAGCGGGGCTGCAGGCCGCGGTCAAGGAGCTGCAGACCACGCTGGCGGTGGCGGAGGCGCAGGTTGCGGCGCCGCTGGACCCAGCACGCCTTGCCGATTGGAACAGGACGGCTGACCCTGCCCTCTTCGTCCTCTCCTGTCAGGCCCCCGCCGCTCCAGGAGAGGTCAAGTCCGCCATTTCGCAATGGCTCCAGGCCGCCAAGGTCACCGAGGACCAGGTCACGCTCCTCGGCGACCTCCCGTCGAAACGTTTCCACCTCCACTGCCCTGGTGGCGCTGCGGGCGTTGCCCGCGCTGGGGCACTCCAGGCTGCGCTCAAGCTACCAGGCGGACAATGGCGTCGATTTGACGTGCTCTCGGTCAACGGCCAGCGCGTCACCATGTACACGAATGCCGACAAGAGCGCGAAGGACATCCGTAAGGAGGTGCAGACGAAGAAACTCTTGGGCCTCATCAGGGCTGCGGTGCCTAGCAAGGACTGCTGGGCGCGCCGACCGAAGGGCCTTGTCTACGTGGACTCTGTGCCGATCGTGGAGGTGCAGGTGCGTGGCCCCGACGAGGCCTCCCGACTGGCCTGGGACGGGTCCGCCACCGCCCGCCTCGGCATCGACAAGCAGGCCATTACGAACCAGTTCCAGGCACTCTGGCGCGAGGTCGACACCTCTGGATGGGACTCTTCCTAGCCTCCGGTGGGCTCCGTGGGAGGTCGGGGCCGCTACCCGTGGGCTCTCGGTGGTGACGTGGAACGCTCGCGGCCTGCTCCTCCGCGCCGCCGCCAGGAGGCGGCGGAAAGTGAACATGGTCGTAGAGCACCTTCGCCAGCGCTCAATTGTGCTGGTCCAGGAAGTCCACGGCTTCACCGAGACGCTCCAGAACTACCTCAACCAGTACTGCATCCACTACAAGATGTATAGCTCTACGACCGGTCGTCCGGGGGCTGGCGGGATCGCAATTTTGATCCCTTGGCACGACCATCACACTATTGCCGCTGCTGGCACGGCGGCTCTCCCTCAGATCCAGAGCCGCGAGTTGGAGCCAGGGCGCGCTGCCGTTACGACGATCACCAACCCCAAACCGCAATGCGCCATTAAAATCATGAACATCCACAATTATGACCTCACCGAGCTTGGGAAGGATCGCATTCGGCGAGCGTGGCGGGATGCTGCGCACTGGGCGCACGAGGACCCTATGAAGAGGACCTTCGTTGCAGCTGGCGATTTTAACATGACCGATGTGCCAGCGGAGTCTCTTTTGTACCCTCGGCCGCGTCAGGCCCAACGGTCTGACGCCAGCAGGGCCAACCGATCCGAACCATTCTGGAGAGATATTTTCGCGAATCCCAACATGCTTGAGGTGTGCTCGCCGCTCCCCACCCACTTCGCGAAGGACTCAGGGACGCTGCGCACGATTGATCGGATCTTCGTCTCACTCGCATCGTCTTTCGCGCTGGAGACCGAGTGCGACCTCCAGCTGGTGCACGATGCCGTGACGCTGGACGCGCAGAACCTCAGCGACCACGCAATCCTCAAGCTTCGCATGAAGACCAGGCAGGCCACGCCCAAGGGCGAGAGGAAAATCCCAGCTTTCATCTTCAAGAGCCCTGAGTACAAGCGGATCCTCGCCAACTGCCTTGATGGTTGTCGCATCGAGTTCAAGCCTGTTTTTGAACAGTGGCGCGACATCAAGGCCATGATGACGCTCGCCGCGGAGCTCGCTCGGAACGAGCTGCAGTCCAAGGCGCTGGTGGTCGACGGCGACAGTGGGCGGCACGCGCGACTGTTGGCCCTCAACTCGGTCGCCAGGGCCGTCTGGCGGCAAGACGCTCGACTGGCCAGGGGGCTCATGCATGATACGCCCATCGGTGCCGCGGAGCTCGAGCTCGTCGACGGCACCGTGCAGTTGAAGAGGCCTGGCGACTTCCACGCGCACGTGCGGGAGGCGCAAGCGCAACTCCTGGAACGGGAGACGGCGGCGCTCGTCGACAGTGCCAGTGGGGCACGCCGGCGGACGGCGGAAGTCATGATCAAGCGAGCGCTGCTGTGGAACCCCACCAAGCGCGCATTGGTACTTTCGGGGATCCGCCACACGCAGCCTGCCGGGCAGGGAGGCAGCGCAGACTCCGTGACTAGGGAACCTGAGTCCATGATCGCAGAATTAAAAAAGCATTGGCAGCCAGTGTTTACATAATCGCCTGTACAGGAAGATCAGATTGGGCCGTTTCTTGATCGGCACATGCCTCGTTTCGATAATTCTTTCCTCCCTCTTCCCTCCCTCTCCGACCTCCGCCTTGCCTTGAGGCGGTCCCGCGACTCCGCGCCAGGGCCCGACAGGCTTCCCGCGCGAGCATGGCGAGCCCACCCTCTTCTAACAGAAGTGCTGCATGGCGTAATGTGTCAGATGGCAGACGGTTCCCCGCCACCTGCCGGTTTTAATTTCTGTCTTCTCGCTTTTCTCCCGAAAGGGGAGGAGGTCGCTGATTTGGTGGAGTGTACGCGGACCCCGGGCTGCACCCGCCCATTAGCTTTGAAAAACTTAGACAGCAAGGCGGTCGCAGCGGCACTGAATCTTCACATTTCGGGCGTCGTGTCGAAAGACGCCCATGGGGCCCAAAAGGGATTCGTCCGTGGGCGGCGCTTCGGTGAGCATATCATCGCGCTCGACGCTGAATCTAGGCGCGCGGGACACCTTCCTCAGGCTGCCACTCGGCTCCCTGGGTTGCTGAGCTTTGATGTTAAAGCCGCTTTCCCAAGCATGTCTCAAGTCTTCCTCCGCCGTGCTGCCGAACGCTTCGCCCTCCCTGCACCCTATTTGTCGTTGCTCGATGGGCTTGCTCATGATACTATTGGGCACGCACGTGTTGGGGAACAGCTGGAGGCTCTATTCCCGATCACATCGGGCGTCCCCCAGGGGTGTCCTCTGTCAGGAAGTCTGTGGGCGTTGGCGTTCGACCCCTGGATCCGGTGTTTGTGCGAGGCGTTTCCTGCGGAGGACGAGGGGGCCCTTGGGGGCTGCGCTGATGATGTAGGTGCGGTCACCATGGATATAAGCAGGACTTCGCACCTTCACCGCACACTCCAAAAGGCTGAGGAGCTCGCTGGTCTCGAATTGCAGCCGCAAAAATGCTGCTTCGTGCCCCTTTGGGCGGACTGCGACGAGACCGTCCGCGAGCAGGCTCGCGCCGCCCTTGCACTGCACGCTCCCGGCTGGGAGAGTTTCAAGATCGAAGGGGCTGCCAAATACCTCGGCGTCATGCTCGGGCCTTCGGCGGACCTTCCGATACAATGGAAGGGCCCTGGACAAAAATGGTGGGGCAGGGTGCGGGAAGTGGCTTTGTCCATGGCTCCTTCTGAGGCCTCGTTGCGACTTTATCTCACGGTTATCCTCCCCTGTCTCTCCTACGTTGTTCAGTTTTTCCCTCCTGACCCCACGCTTTTGGCGAAGGAGGGACAGGCTCTTCACAAACTACTGCGGTTGCCTCCTAATTCGTTCCGGGTCGCCGAGCTGATGGGCGTCGGGAGGTGGTTGCCCAGCGCTGTTCCTATACCCGTCAACGTGTCTTGCCTTGCCGCTGCGTGGAGAGCCAGCCAGTACACGTTTCGGGGGTGGAGGGTTTGGCGGGATCGGCTTCGAGATGCGGCTCACAACCACGGATTCCTAGTGGATTTTGTTCGCAATGTATGGTCTCCTAGGTTTTGGGTTCGGCGTCAGAGCATTGCCGAATATTATGCCTCCTTTGACTGCCCGCCCAACGATGGTAGGGTTCCGAGGCAGGCGTTTGAGCGGGCGAAGGCCGCTGCACTTGCTCTTGAATGTGATAACGTGCCCCGCTCTGGGAAGACAGGGGTTCGTCCTCAGACGGCCTTCCTCCGCTCGTTATGCTCCTCCCTCTACCCCGACGTGATCCCTGATCTTCTGGAGCGGCGTTTTCGCAAGTGGTTCCCCGATCGGCCCCCTTTGGGACGACCAGAGCTCGAAGATCGTTGGGCCAGGCTTCGAGACGTCCTCAAGGCGGCGGCTCCGTCACGGACATGGGCCCATTTAAAAACGCTCGCAGGGGCCTGGATCACGTCAGCCCGCGTGGGGATACTCACGCCTAAGGGTTGCCGGTTCGGGTGCTCCCAGGACTGTCTGGGCATCGAGATCTGCGCTCCAGATTCGATCGGGCACTATTTATATTGCCCCCGGCTCTCCCACCTTCTCGCTCTCCCTCGTGCCATCATTCCTAATGACCCGGTGGTCCGATTAGGGCTTGGCCCTGCCTCCGCGTACAATGTAGACAGGGAATACGATCCCATCTCCCTTGAGCGTTCTAACTATTTAACCGCTCTGTCATTCCATATCTACCATAAATACCGTGCTGAGCTTCAGCAACATCCACGTTTACAAGGCACTTACACCTCGACATTGCGTGCGAGGCACGCCGCGATTGTCGCTCTTGGCTGATGCTGACGGACGGTGTCCCCCCAGGCGACGTGCTCTCCTCCTCCTCCTCCTCCTCCTCCTCCTCCTCCTCCTCCTCCTCCTCCTCCTCCTCCTCCTCGGGTCTTCCAGGAAGCCATCCGTTGCTTCGGAGAAGGCTTGAGAAACTTCTCGGAAGGCACGAGGCCGTGTGGGCCTGCTGAGAAGGCCGTGTGGTGCGGGAGCGGCACCTGTACAGGGGCTCCTCATTCCTCCTCTGGGCACCTCCCCCGGGGCGCGGATCCACCGGATCTGTCCGGATCTGTCCGGAAACGGTGCCGGAGGCCGCTCTGGGCTCCTCTGGGCACCTCCCCCGGGGCCGGTTTTGTGAGGATGTCTCAAGCGAGGGCGCCGGTTTGGGATTCGTCGGCGGATCCACCGGATCCACCGGATCTGTCCGGAAACGGTGCCGGAGGCCGCTCTGGGCTCCTCTGGGCACCTCCCCCGGGGCCGGTTTTGTGAGGATGTCTCAAGCGAGGGCGCCGGTTTGGGATTCGTCGGCGGATCCACCGGATCCACCGGATCCACCGGATCTGTCCGGAAACGGTGCCGGAGGCCGCTCTGGGCTCCTCTGGGCACCTCCCCCGGGGCCGGTTTTGTGAGGATGTCTCAAGCGAGGGCGCCGGTTTGGGATTCGTCACCGGATCCACCGGATCTGTCCGGAAACGGTGCCGGAGGCCGCTCTGGGCTCCTCTGGGCACCTCCCCCGGGGCCGGTTTTGTGAGGATGTCTCAAGCGAGGGCGCCGGTTTGGGATTCGTCACCGGATCCAGCGGATCCAGCGGATCCACCGGATCTGTCCGGAAACGGTGCCGGAGGCCGCTCTGGGCTCCTCTGGGCACCTCCCCCGGGGCCGGTTTTGTGAGGATGTCTCAAGCGAGGGCGCCGGTTTGGGATTCGTCACCGGATCCCGGATCCAGCGGATCCACCGGATCTGTCCGGAAACGGTGCCGGAGGCCGCTCTGGGCTCCTCTGGGCACCTCCCCCGGGGCCGGTTTTGTGAGGATGTCTCAAGCGAGGGCGCCGGTTTGGGATTCGTCACCGGATCCAGCGGATCCAGCGGATCCACCGGATCTGTCCGGAAACGGTGCCGGAGGCCGCTCTGGGCTCCTCTGGGCACCTCCCCCGGGGCCGGTTTTGTGAGGATGTCTCAAGCGAGGGCGCCGGTTTGGGATTCGTCACCGGATCCACCGGATCTGTCCGGAAACGGTGCCGGAGGCCGCTCTGGGCTCCTCTGGGCACCTCCCCCGGGGCCGGTTTTGTGAGGATGTCTCAAGCGAGGGCGCCGGTTTGGGATTCGTCGGCGGATCCACCGGATCCACCGGATCTGTCCGGAAACGGTGCCGGAGGCCGCTCTGGGCTCCTCTGGGCACCTCCCCCGGGGCCGGTTTTGTGAGGATGTCTCAAGCGAGGGCGCCGGTTTGGGATTCGTCACCGGATCCACCGGATCTGTCCGGAAACGGTGCCGGAGGCCGCTCTGGGCTCCTCTGGGCACCTCCCCCGGGGCCGGTTTTGTGAGGATGTCTCAAGCGAGGGCGCCGGTTTGGGATTCGTCGGCGGATCACCGGATCGTCCGGAAACGGTGCCGAGGCCGCTCTCCTCTGGGCACCCTCTGGGCACCTCCCTCGGGGGCCGGTTTTGTGAGATGTCTCAAGCGAGCGCTCCCGGTTTGGGATTCGTGCGCGGTCCCCGGATCCACCGGCTCTGTCCGGAATCGGTGCCGGAGGCCGCTCTGGGCTCCTCTGGGCACCTCCCCCGGGGCCGGTTTTGTGAGGATGTCTCAAGCGAGGGCGCCGGTTTGGGATTCGTCACCGGATCCACCGGATCTGTCCGGAAACGGTGCCGGAGGCCGCTCTGGGCCCCTCTGGGCACCTCCCCCGGGGCCGGTTTTGTGATGATGTCTTAAGCGAGGGCGCCGGTTTGGGATTCGTCACCGGATCCACCGATCCACCGGATCCAGCGGATCTGTCCGGTAAACGGTGCCTGAGGCCGCTCTGGGCTCCTCTCTCTGGCACCTCACCGGGGCCGGTTTTTGTGAGGGATGTCTCCATAGCGAGGGCACCGGTTTGGGATTCGTCGGCGGATCCACAGGATCCACCGTATCTGTCGGATCTGTCCGGAAACCGGATCTGTCCGGAAACGGTGCCGGAGGCCGCTCTGGGCTCCTCTGGGCACCTCCCCCGGGGCCGGATTTGTGAGGATGTCTCAAGCGAGGGCGCCGGTTTGGGATTCGTCACCGGATCCAGCGGATCCAGCGGATCCACCGGATCTGTCCGGAAACGGTGCCGGAGGCCGCTCTGGGCTCCGCTGGGCACCTCCCCCGGCGCCGGTTTTGTGAGGATGTCTCAAGCGAGGGCGCCGGTTTGGGATTCGTCACCGGATCCAGCGGATCCAGCGGATCCAGCGGATCCAGCGGATCCGTCCGGAAACGGTGCCGGAGGCCGCTCTGGGCTCCTCTGGGCATCCCCCCCGGGGCCCGGTTTGTGAGGATGTCTCAGGCGAGGGCGCCGGTTTGGGATTCGTCACCGGATCCAGCGGATCCAGCGGATCTGTCCGGAAACGGTGCCGGAGGCCGCTCTGGGCTCCTCTGGGCACCTCCCCTGGGGCCGGTTTTGTGAGGATGTCTCAAGCGAGGGCGCCGGTTTGGGATTCGTCACCGTTTCA